CAAGAGAAGCTTTACAGAAATAGGAGGTTTCCACAAGCAGAGTAGATGGGACAGAGCAGTAGTGAAGTGACAGGGAGAGTGCATACAGCAAGCACCAGGAACAGTGAATTCTTCTGTGAGACTGCAGGTTAAAGGTACAGTGGGCTCCTATTTGACAATTTCTTAGGCTGTGATTAAGCAACATGTTTCTTAACACAGTAACTTGTGGTTCTTACCACAGCACACTATGGTAGAAATAATTCCTTTACCCAGAGCTCTGGCGTACGTCGAATGATACGGTTTTCTCTCAGTATTAACCAGTTACCTGACAGCAAGACCACAGCACCAGTTAACCTTGGATGACTTCTGAGCTCTAGATGGAATCAAAAGACCTAGGAAGTAAAGTCTGGGCTTGGGCTCCCGCTCAATGAGCAGGACCTTATATTATATGGATATTGAACACTAAATAACCAGAAAACGATCGTTAATCCTTGAAGAAAACGTACACTGGTCTGCATTTGGCAAACCAAACTATGTACCATTTGATAGCATCTGTGTACCTCAGGGTCTACAAAATGTCACTGAGGAGGCAGGGATGTTCCACAGGAATCCCTCTGACCCAGGCAGGGAGCAGCCGCTCCAGTTGCTGGTCCTGGGTCACAGGCTGTTGCACAGCTCAATGGAGGGCAGCTCTTTTAGCAGAGAAAGGAATGATTTCACCGTAACCTTCAGCATCTAGACTTCTCTGGAGAGCCTGATGGAGCTGTCCCACTTCCACTCCCTCCACATCTTCTCCAGCAGCCATGCTTCCACACAGAGGTGAGCAGAGGTCCCCCTGAAGCCCTCAGCCAAACCCATCAGAGCAGCACCGCTGAGCAGTGAGTGCAGGGCTGCTGCCCTAACCTGAGTCTCATGGTACCCACTAGCCACAAGGAAGCAGTGGCTCCACTGGCAAGTAACTATTGTCACTCTAAGAAAATGAATGGCAAGGCTTCCTTTTATTATCACAAACGATTTTGATTTACCTGCATTAACAGTTTTCTGAGGCTATTTTTTTTCATACAGTTTGTCATGTTCCTTATTTACAGCCCCAAGTAGAGTTTCATTATTTAATAGAAAAACAGGATTCAGAAACAAGACAAAGCAAAACAAAATACACTACATTACCACATTGGTGGCAAAATTATAATTAAACAAACTGAAGAAGACAGAGAGGTCTGCCCCATTGTCTGAATCCCTAGAAACCAAAACACCTAGGATTTCCTCTAGGCTAATTAGAAATCTTAATCATGGAACCAAAAAGGCATTTTTCAGAAAAATAGTTTAAACCCTATGATTCCCAGGAAACATCTCACTTCCAACTTCCCGACGTCCTTCTAATCAGAACAAGCAAGTCTAACTTGAATAGTGTAGTGGGTGCAAATTTGCCATACAATGAATGGATGCAAGAAACAGCACTTAGCTTTATTTTTCTAAACACGAAATTTGTCTCTCAGCTCCACTTTCCCCTGAGTGCTGAGGCAATGATGATGTTTTTAAAACTTTAAAAAGAATATATCAGATTCTCTATTCCATTAACTTCCAAGAGTCTCAAGAAACTACACAGAAGTCTGGAGATCCCTTAGGACCCCAGTCTGTCAGGGTCACATCTGTGATGTTCAAACAGTGGTCATTGATCAAGCTGACATGGTTATTCAAGACTCCTTTTCTGAGTTTGTTGACTCCCAAGGTAGGGCAATGAGCACTCAGTTCCCCCAGAAGTACGGAGCATTCAAGAGACCTTTACCATTGTTCTGTAAACATGTAGGTGTGGGATGCAGGGCATCTTTTGACTCTTCTATTAAATATATTATTAGTGTGGTCGTGTTTATTAATACTGAGGTCTGCTTTTTTTGTAATTCTGATTATTCCTTTATTATAGCATCCCTGCTTGTTCCATAAATGTGATAATTCCTCCAATCTCTGTGAGAAACTCATTAGTTCACATTTTATTTTCGCTTTCCTCTGAGTTTTTGTTCTCTAAATGTTTGTTTTGATCTATCTTTCACATTAATGACTTTTGATCTTTGTTAATCACATAAGCCTTAAGCACTAAGGAGCTGAATGTAAAATCTATGAGCCTGGGTGGGACACACTACAGGCAATTCAGTTATTGATATCAATAGGTCTTTTCTCCTGGTTCAGATATTTACCCCATATAGGCAACCTCCTGGATCCTCCCCTGAGATGTCACTGAGGCAGGCAAAAATTAAGGAGCTCACAAGGTGCAAGGTTGAAAGCTGGGGGCCTGGCTTAGGGCTGAGAGCGTAGACTTTTACTTCATCTCCCTATTTTCATTATGGCATTATAACCCTGCATTTAGCTGTGATTTTTTTTTATTCTTTCTGGTGCAGAGGATTGATCCCAGGGCCACAGGTATGCTAGTACACTAGTAACCTCCACTACTAGTAGCCACCAATGTGGTAATGTAGTGTGTTTTGTTTTATTTTGTCTTGTTTCTGAATCCTGTTTTTTCTATTAAATAATGAAACTCTACTTGGGGCTGTAAATAAGGAACATGACAAACTGTATGAAAAAAAATAGCCTCAGAAAACTGTTAATGCAGGTAAATCAAAATCGTTTGTGATAATAAAAGGAAGCCTTGCCATTCATTTTCTTAGAGTGACAATAGTTACTTGCCAGTGGAGCCACTGCTTCCTTGTGGCTAGTGGGTACCATGAGACTCAGGTTAGGGCAGCAGCCCTGCACTCACTGCTCAGCGGTGCTGCTCTGATGGGTTTGGCTGAGGGCTTCAGGGGGACCTCTGCTCACCTCTGTGTGGAAGCATGGCTGCTGGAGAAGATGTGGAGGGAGTGGAAGTGGGACAGCTCCATCAGGCTCTCCACAGTGGAGCTAGTGCACTAGTATACTAGTGCTCTGCCACTGAGCTACATCCCCAGCCCTTTAGCTGTGTCAGGACTCTCAAATCCAGAGTCTTTGGCTCATCTTCTCCTAAAAGCGATCTTCCCATCATTCTTCTGGGATGAGAAAGGGCAGCAACCTAGTTTCCTTGCCTGGAGAAGATCTGGAGTTTACTCCACAGACATACTTCCAACCAGTCTTCCTGTGCATAATAACACTGCCATCCAGTGCTGCAGGCAGGGTTATCTCATGTTTTCCAGGTTGTAGGACCAGAACCAGCTTGCTTTTCATTGATTTTTCCTTCTGCAAGTATTTGGGTGTCCCCTCCCCTTTATCCTGTATTCATACTCATCCACTCTGGATTATAAATTTTTGTCTATTCCCATGTCTTCTGCTTTTCCAATGCCCTTGTTGCCTTACACCCTTCCTTTTCCACATTAATTAATTTTAAGATAGGGAGTCTCACTGTGTAGCTTAGGCTGGTCTCAAACTGGTGGACTCAAGCATTCCTCTATTGTCAGCTTAAAAAATAGTTGGAACTACAGGTGTGCACTGGTGTGCCTGACTTTGTTTATGCATTTTAAAACTTCATTTGTTAATGTTTAATGGCATTTGCAAGGGAACACAAAATAGAGCTGTGTGCTTACCCTACCAACCTTAACCCAGGCTCCACAGTACATTCTTTTGCATATCAATTGTACAAATATTTATCTTTCAAGCTTGGTTTCAAGTTGGTTCAGTCAGGCTGGTGGACTGGCTCAAGTGGTAAAGCTCCTGTCAATCAAAAAAAAAAAAAAAAGAGTGAAAAGTCTGAGATAGCCTTTCCTAGGCCTGAAGCCCCCAACATTCAGAATAATTAATTAGCTTTTCTTTTTCTTGGGAAACAGAGAAGCTGAATGAATTATGAATAATTAATAAAATATTACCCACTGTAATGCAACAAAAAACTGTATACACCTATCCTAAAACAATAACATGCATATATTATGCCAAATACAATATCATCATACAAAATTTCTGGGAGAAAAAAATCTCTGCCTCAAAATGATGCCTATATGCTATTTTATTTTTAAATAGCTTAGTAATTATTTCACATGAAATGTTAAAGTTATAATTGAATGTTGTTACTGTCCTTAACACCTGCCCCAGGGGACATAATTTATGGCATCAGAACCACTTCTTCCTGTGAAAAAGACACACTATATCAGTGCTGTCAGTTTGGCTATGGATAGCAAGAAAATATTTAGATCTGGTATGAAAAGTGGGATTATTCTTTATTTTGGTCAGAATTCCCAAATAGTAAGTTAGTGCCCACGCCTGGTATGTTTACAGGCCACCAGAATGACACTGCTGTTGATCAAAACTAAGGGTGAATACCAAGAGATGACATTTGATGTGGCTCAGAGTGTTTCTTTCTGGACAGATCCAGAGCATAGTTCTTTTTGAGTTCTGGTAGTGTTATTTTTGAGAATGTGCTCAGCTTCCTGGCATGACTATTTTTAAAGGTAGTACTTGATTGTATGTATGTGTTATGGTAGTTAAAGTCCTATTACTTTTTAATGACCATTTATGTTTTAACATAAGTGGAGTTAGGAAATTTTGCACATGAGCCATATTTACAATAGTAAGACACTGATTTATGATGATATAAAGTTTACAATAACAATAAAAAGTGTATAGAGCAGAAAACTGGCTGAGCTATGTGGTGCCATACTTTATACCCTTTAAGAAGACAGGTTCATGTATTGTGTCCATTGTATGGAAGAATAAATATGATAATTAAGTGAACTTGACCAATACAAAAACAATAAAGTAAATGTTGGTAAAAAGTCACAACTATGCTGTACAAAATGGTCATTTTTTCTTTATATCTGTTTCATAATAAAATAGTGATGTTTTGAAAATAGTGATGTTTCCCAATTCTTTCTGAGCCAAGGCTTTCAACAGTATAATTTCATCATTTTCCTATATTTTCGTTTTTAGAACACTGGTTTTCTCTCTTCAAATGTTAAAAAAAAATTTAGTGAAGTTGGTGGATCAGTAAGCACATTTTGCATTGCACCAGTCCAAAAGGTGGAACTCCCAAAACCACAAGAGAAAGAAGGAAGTTAAAAGATGTTAAATCGGCCATAGCTTACCCTAGTCAGCCTGGTGGTCTAGCTTACCCTAGTCAGCCTGGTGGTCTGGCTTCCCGGTCAACATGAAGGTGCTCCTTATTCTCAGTCTTCTTCTTTCTGTCACTGTCCATGGCAAGATCTATGAACGGTGTGAATTTGCCAGAACACTAAAAAGAAATGGAATGGATGGCTTCAGGGGAGTCAGCCTGGCAAACTGTAAGTCTACTCCCTTTCATACCTCTAGATAGTTAGCCACACAAGGAACAGGGACTAGGAGGAATGGATGACCAGAAGGGGCTTTGAGTGATAGACAGTTTTAGTTCTTTGTGAGTATACTCACAGTGTTTTAAAATGTCAGTTTGGTCCTTTAAAATCAGAGATACCTCATGAAAGAATAAAGGCTTGGGAGGGGAAAATTCTATATGATTCTAAGTCAAACAGTGACTGATGTACTTTTTTAGTGCTTCTAGGTTGACCAGTTGCCTCAGACTCAATGGCCTATGTTAGCTGAGTAAAATACATGTTGGAGGACCTGCTTGGATTTTATGCTGTTATACCCCAGTGTGATACAGTATTTTTCTTAAATTCTGCTGCCATGCCAGGAGATTTTTAACAGGAAAATGCATGAAATGTTTTATTATTATCATTCACTCTAGGCTGACTTATTTTCATTCTTTCCATTTAGTTGAAAATGTGCCATGAGAATTACTTTACAGATTATTCCATATATGTCAATGTTATCACTCATTTTTCAGATTAAATTCAGACATTTCCCCCTCAATAACTATTTTTGAATGAATAAGTAAATAGATTAATGGGTGGATAAAATCACAGTATAGCCTTTCCAATTCTATAATTCTTGCTTTCAAGATTCTAATTAGCCAGGTGTGGTGGTCACTTCCATAATCCCATTACTGGTGGTGGGGGGGGGATGCTGAGGTAGGAGGGTTGCCAGTTAAATGTCACCTCAAACATAGCAAGACCCTGCCTGAAAAAAAAAAGAAAAAGGATTATAAATTGACATGTAACCTCGAGTATTATAAGAACATCTTTTTCAGAAAAATCCTTATTTTTTCTAATGGAAAATGTTTTTTCCATCAGACTATGTTCTATGAACTTACCAAATCCTATCAACAACTGTTGACTTTGCATTCTAGGTTGAATGTTTCCTAAGGGGGGGGGAATGGTAAAAAACAATGAAAGAAAGAGCTTAACAGCTGTTTTATCTTAGTATAACAAATTGATTTGCTCTATAAAGGGATTCTCTTAAGGGTCCTTTAAAATAAGGGGTTGAGCAGTAATCTCATCTACTTGGAAGTCTGAGGCAGAAGGATAACTTCATCCCAGAAAACTATACTGGGCAAGTTAATGAGATCGTGTCTCAGAACAACAAAACCACTATTGTATTAAAATATTTTATCAGTTAAATACATCTTTGTACTTGTAAAATAAATCACTAATGAAATACAATTAGCCAAATGCAGGGTATATAGTATAAGCCATTTAGAGTTGCTGTTTGTTACTAAAATAATTTCTTTTCAGGGGTGTGTTTGGCCAGATGGGAGAGCAGTTATAACACACGAGCTATTAACTACAATCCTGGAGACAAAAGCACTGATTATGGGATATTTCAGATCAACAGCCGCTACTGGTGTAATGATGGAAAAACCCCAGGAGCAAAAAATGCCTGTGGCATACAATGCAATGGTAAGACAAGATAGGAGTGATGACACAGGATGCTCTGGTTAAATCTCACAAGAGTAGAGATCCCGTGTTTATGACATGCCCTTGAAGGATGCATCAGGAACCTAGAAAAACTCTATCTTAACTTCTAGAAAGTCATTATAACCAGCTTCGAAATTAGATAAGAACCTGGATTCCATGCCAAGCACACACACAAAAAGTGGTATCACAAAAAAATTGGTGTTTTTGATATATAAACGTTCTGGAATGATCTATTAACTTATTATAAACAGCCTTATTAATGCTTTTCTAGAAGAATGCCAACCTACCTTTAGACATGGTTAAGGATGATTTGGTTGTGTGGTCCTTTTTGATTGATAGTTTTACTTTTTATGAAATGTTCTAAACATAGAAAATTAGATATTAGTACAATAAACAGCTGTATAACTGTGCACCTTTAAATTATTAACATTTTGCTATAGTACCATATGCTTCTTCTGTTTAGTGTTGCTAAAATAAAAATTATTACTAAAGATAATTTCCTTTAAAGTTTTATATATATATATATATATAACTTTTATCTGCTGATAGATGGTAAAGTAAATTATAAACATATTTAATTTGTAAAGTATTTAGCTTGTATCTCCAAATATATAGTTTTCAGATAATCATTATCACATCTAACAAAGTAATCTATGAATTTATTTATTTAGGGTGAAACTAATTTTTTAACAAGAAAGAGAACACACAACATTAACTACATGTTTAAGGCATGGAATTGGTAGAACCTGAACTCATGTTACAATAGAAGTAACATATAAATCATGTAATTTGATCTTGCTGTTTTTTCAGTGCTGGGGATCAAACTCAGGTTTTGTGCAGTAATCTGCCACATAGCTATGTTAATTTCAGCCCTGTTAAATTTTTAATGGTAAAATTCCTGAGAAAAGATTGATTTTGGAAAATTCTCTTTAATATAGTTAATGTACTTTTTCAATTAGTTTGTATCATATTATAATCTGTTACTTGAATAAAGTTTACACAATACAAGTAAGAAAGAATGGAACCCAAAATCTTAGTACCTAGAAATTTATAACCATTGGTAACTTTTGATATATGATCTTTTAGAATTTATATCAAGTATGCATATAAATGTAAAGTTATAACATTCCCATATGCATGCATGTGCAAACATGTAAACAGTGTATTTTATAAAAATTAAATTTTATTACTTCTATATTGATAAACACAAATCCATATTATCATTTTAAAGGATTAATGAAATTCCACTGAATATTGTATAATCTACTGTTTCTATTCGTTATGATTAAGCACTTACATTGTTTCTATTTTTGCCTTTTATGAAATTGCTATGAACAGCTTTATGCATACATGTTTTGGAAGATTTCATATTACTTTGTTAGGATACATTTTCAGTTGTAGAATTTCTAAGTAAAAAATTACTAGACATGTTTTTTTGTTTTTTTTTACAGTGTTGGGTATAAAAGAGAACCTTCCATCATGTTGGTTAATAATTCCAGAGCTTGTAATGACTAGTATATGAGAAGTAAAATGTTTTGTATCATGTCAAAATGGTAGAATGAAGAGATGATTTCTTCAACAATCACAGATATACAAACTCTTGGAAAATAACTTTCTAGTATTCTTTCGTTGGTGAACCAAAGCAGCTGACTAAATCTAAATGGAAAATCATTTCCATTCCTTACCTCCTCTCTTTCAGCTTTGTTGCAAGATGACATCACTCAAGCCATAGCTTGTGCAAAGAGGGTCGTCAGTGACCCACAAGGCATTAGAGCATGGTATGTTTTAAGTGTTAAAAGGGAAAACTAGCCGGGTGCCAGTGGCTCACACATGTAATCCTAGCTACTCGGGAGGCAGAGATCTGGAGGATTGTGGCTCGAAGCCAGCCAGGAAAATAGTTTGCAAGACCCTATCTCAAAAAAACCCAACACAAAAAAGGGCTGGAGTGGCTCAAGGTGTAGGCCCTGAGTTCAAACCCCAATACCAAAAAAAAAAAAAAAAAAACCCAGAAAACTTTATCCAATTGGTGATATGTTCAGGGAAAGTATTTTCAGAGATCAAACTATTATTCTGAGAATTGAAAATTGCAGCTTTGGGCCTACAAAAGACAATGTACTACCTCCACCCTTGAAAAAACAATTACTGTAACTGATCAGAATGTTATACTTTTACTCCTGGAATTAGTTTAGTGGATATCTTAGGTTTTTAAGATTTTCTGCACTCTACTTCTTCCTTGTGATATCTTGTACTATTGCAGAATAAGTAAATGTGCCATTCACATAACTCAACATTTATGTTCAGCATTCTGTGTTCTACTAAGGGCTTTGGGGAGAAGCAAAGTACTTTGGAGAAATAATCTTTGTTTAATTAATATCTGTAGCCCATATTCTATTTATTGATTAAATACTTCATGCCCCCAAAGGACATGAAGTATGTATATTACATGAGACATGTTCTAACCTTTTCTCTATATGTTTCATTTCTCTCTAGGGTGGCATGGAGAATTCATTGTCAAAACCAAGATCTCACTCAGTATATTCGGGGCTGTGGCGTGTAACGGCAGAATTTTCCTTCTTCAGCTCATTCTTCTCTTTTTCACATTATGGGACTGGTAGTTCAGTGAAAGGTCACACTGCCATTGTGTCCCCTTCAACAAATAGTATTTTTATAGAAGCAGGAGCGAGTACAGCCTTTCTCCCAAGAGTCTTACTGTTCACTAGTGAGTTTATTATTTGATACTAATACTACATTTTTCAGTCTACCCATAGTATTAATCCTGGTGAAAATTTATTTTTACCTGGATTATCAAATACATCTCCAGTAAAATCAGTTCTTTGTCAATGAAATAAACCAGATTTAATCTAGATATTAAGCTGTCCAGTTTTACATAAAAATATAACAAGGGATTTTCTTGAATTGATATTAGGTAAAATGCCAGCCATATAGGCATCTGATGCCTGCATCTGTTCAGTCCTCTCCAAAAACAGTAAAAATAACAACTCTATTGGACAAGATAAAAATTTTAAGGAAGTAGAGTTTTAAAATGGTTGGAAATGGAGACTGTTTTCATGAAGTGTATGACCTTTGGTTTTAACATTTTCTTAGAAATGATGTATTTATAGTACTTTAAAGGTAGATTTATCAATCTCTTTTAACCCTTGGAAGAACGCTTACAATGCATCTTGCTAAAGAGGAAGGCATTAAGGAGGGATTAATAAGCTGTTGTTTTTTAATTTTGTTTACATTGATTCATGCATTTCAGCTAAATCAGAGACAGGTTAACTTCTATTGTAATTAATCACAGGAGTAAAGTTTTGCAGACTGTAGTTGTAATAAATACACACCTAACCATTAATGCACACCTTGTCTTTGTTTATACATGTCTTTCTCTGGGGGAAAGTTACATAAATATATGAAAAAAAGACGTGGCATTCTTAGTATCTTCTACACTGTTACCTGCACATAAACATATGGCTGTTGCTACTAGAGAAAAACCCACAAGCATGCTGACAAATCTCACTTCAATTCATAGTCACAAATCTCAGATGGGCCTTTAGGTCAGTGTGGCCATCCAAGTCACTTCCCTGCAATCCTTGCTCAGCTAAAATTGTGCCCCTAGAACTTCTCCCATGACTCCTTGGTGCAATCTTGGAGATCGTCTGTTCTCTGTTCATTCTACTAGCTCTCTCAGCAGCATTTGGCAGAGTAAACCACTTCATACTTCTGGAAGCATTTCTCCCACAGCTTCTCCACCCTTACAACCTACCTCACAGACTGCTCCTTTTCAGTCCTTGCTCTCTCTTTTCTGACATTTCATTTCTAATTATAGGAATGCCCCAGGATTCAAATGTATGATCTTTTGATATCTACAAATTTCACTTAATTATTTACAATAGTTCTCCCTTATCCACAATTTTATTCTCTGTGGTTTCAAGTTACCCATGATCAATTAAGATCTGAAAATATAAAAATGGGACGTACCAGAAATTAAGCAATTCATAAGGTGCTTTCATGACATGCTAAGTAGTGTGATGAAATCTCCTACCTTCCTATTCTGTACTGCTCAGCACGGGAATCAGCCCTTGTTCCATTGAATATCCTACCCACTCATTAGTCACTTCGTGGCCAACTCAGTAATTAGATTGACCTTGGCGGTAACCAAGTGCTTTTGTTCAAGTATCTCTTGTTTTACTTAGCATAGTAATTCTTGTGTTTTATTATTATTTATTGCTAATCTTTTATTATCCCTAATTTATTAAAATTTATCATGTGAATATATATAAAGGAAGACATACACATATATGATTCAGGAATATCTATAGCTTCAGACATGTACTAGAGTTCTTGGAATGTGTCTGCCTTGGATAAGGGAGGACTATTGCACTCATTTCTTCTCAGCAAAATATAACTTCCAAAGGATAGAGTTTTTAAAAACATTGAAGTAGGCTGGGGTGTACCTTAGTAGTACAGCACTTACCTAAGATGCATGAAGACCCAAGTTTGATCTCTAGGACCAGTACAAAAAACAAACAAACAATTATCCTTAATCCAAATCCCAGCTCTGTTGCTTACTGTTTTTTGGGGGGAGGGGTCTAATTACTTTATGGGGTGCATATAATTAATATATAAATTGAAATAGTACTGACTTATAAGGCCCTTATAAGAATTATAAACTTTTGAAGTGACTTGGGCTTTGTAAGAATTTGGTAAACAAGGCCTGGAGATGTGTGGCTCAAGTAACAAAGCACTTGCTTTGTAAATTTGAAGCCCTCCGTTTAAATTCCAGTTCCACCAAAAAAAAAAAAAAGACAAAAGAATTTTTTTTTCCTTTTGCCTTTACCTTTATCTCTAAATAGTCTGGATAATCAGCAAGTCTTGATTATTCAACTTCTTAGTTACCTCCTGATCCCGCTTACTTCTATACATACTACAATGTCATCTGCCACCTGGATTATTTGTCATCTACAGTGACATTTTAAATAAGTTTTGATCCTGTTCCTGTTCCATTTAATAGTCATGAGTAGTTTCCCATGATCTTTGGGATTAAGTTTTAAATCCTATTGTTTTTGGAGTAAGCACCAACATGTGGCCCTGTTTCCTCCAGCCTCATTTTCTTTGCCATTTTCCACCAGCCATCCCTGCACTGCTTTCACTGTCTTCATCAGCCTCCTCTTGCCTCCTGCCTCTGGGCTCAGCACATGTGTTTCAGCCCCACCCTGACCCAATTAACTCACCACTTTATTTGACTAACACAACTCATCCTTTTCAGCTGGAACCTTCTACACAGGTTTCTTACCTGTGCAAATTTCTCCCATAAATACTGTGCCTCCCTTTTGGTAAAACAAACCTCACTAAAGGTGTTGTCAATCACCAAGACTTAATGTCCAGAAATTCTGTGCAGGCAAGAATGATACCTGCCTGATTCTATACAACCTGAGGTCCTAGCACAGGGATGGCCTAGCAGAGTTGCTGTGAGGTAAACGGTGTCAAGGCATTATTTCCCACTAGGAGCATGGGAAGATGGCTCATGGCAAAGATAACTGCTCTAAGAGTGTAAAAAGCAGTTTAAGAGCTTAAAAGCCAGGATGCCTTTCACAAAAAGGTTTTTAAACTCCGCAAAGTGTCCTAAATGTATCACTTCCACAGAAATGTTCTCATCTTTAAAATCATTTTTTGGTGAATGCTCCAGATGTGGCCCTGCCCTCTTTTCACTGCTTTGCTCACATTACTTCCTCTTCTGCAGTGCTGCCCACCTAACCTCCACCCCTTCAGCTCCTGCCTGGCTTATACTTTTTTAAGATTTAGGTGGGCCTCAGTCTCCTTGCTCACTAATCCTCTTTTTCATGCATGCTGTTGTTGTACATTTTTATGCATCTAGTACAGAATGGTCCAGTGAGGGCTCAGGTTTCTTGGTAAGTTAATGAATTCAGGAGAGATTAAACACTGACACTTTCTTGTTGAGGGATTGGTACTTTGATGATTAGAGTAAGACCCATAGTTACAGATGTATTAGAGTGTTCTTTAGACCTTAAACTTCCTGGTACCTCCAATTTAGCCATGATGACCACTCTAATAGTTGGTTATTACTATAGGCCTATTGTGTACCAGTATCAGGGCTAGGTACCATAGGAGGTGGAGACAAACAAGAGGACCTTCCAGACTAGAACAAGAAGGAATGATGGAAGTAAGTAAATTCAATGGGATGTCCTGCAAATGGAATTAGAGTACATAGGACAGAACACTTTATTCTGAGGGCATCAAGAGGAACTTTTTAGAGTTAGGTTTCCACAGGCAGAGTGGATGGGGCAGAGCACAGGAGATTGAGGACAGAGCAGCCATGAAGGCACAGAGAGGGTAAGTGCACTGAGAAGCAGTGGCTGCATTTAATATGCACAGCAGGTTCCTCCTTATCAATTTCTTAGGCTGTGATCAAGCAACATATTCTTAACACACTTTCGTTCTTGCCAGAGACCATAGCGCACTATGGTAGGAATAATTCCTTCACCTGACGCTCTGGCATATGTTGAATAGTATTATTTCCCCCAGGAAGGAAATCTGGGCCTTGTTTGATCAACACTTAATGAGCAGGAGCTTACATTATAGGGATATTGAGCACTAAATAACCAGAAAATGATCATTAATCCTTGAAGAAAACATACACTGGTCTGCATTCGACAAACCCAAACTCTGTACCATTTGCCAGCACCCATGCACCTCAGGGGTCACCAAAATGCCACATGTGGATTGGGGACAAGCACACTGCTGAGGCAGGGATGTTCTCACAGGAAGCCACTCTGATCCAGGCAGGGAGCAGCTGCTCCAGGTGCTGGTCCTGGGTCACAGGCTGCTGCACAGCTCAGTGGAGGGCCGCTTTACTAGCAGAGAAAGGAATGACTTCACCTTAACCGTCAGCAGCTGGTCTTCTCTGGAGACCCTGCTGGGCTGTCCTATATCCATCCTCTTTGCATCTTCTCTAACAGAGAAGAGCTGAAGTTCCCTGCATCCCTCAGCCAAACCCACAGGGACAGTACCATTGCTCAGTGGTGTAGTGCAGCTGCCCCAACTCAAGGTTGCAACTCAAGGAAGCATCTCAGCTCCATTGGCAAGTGACTATTGTCATGCTAAAATAAAATGCATAGCAAGGCTCCCTTCTATTAACACAAACAATTTGGTTTAGCACTCAGCTTCCCTTTGAGCCTCTCTCTCTCTTTTTTTTTTTGGCAGTACAGTGGCTTGAACTCAGGGCCTTAAACTTGCTAGGCAGGAGTTCTACCACTTAAGCCACTCCACCAGCCCTTGAGGCTCTTTTTTCATGTAGTTTTTCATGGACTTTACTTGCTGATCCAAGTAAAATTTAATTATTTAGCAGTAATAGGGAACACAGGATTGCAGGACAACAACAAAAATATTCTGGTGGCATAAATTATAGTGAACAAGGTCTGTACGATAGTCTGAATTACTGAAAACCAAAACACATAGAGATTCCTCTAAGATTAATGGGAAGTTGAATTATGAGTCAAAATAGACATTTTTAAGAAAAGAGTTGGACTCCCTTTCCAATCTCATTCTAATCAGAATAAGCAAGTCCAAATCAAGTAGTGCCATGGGGTCAAAATTTGCTGAATCATAAGTATCTGCAGGAAACATTGCTTTGTTTTTCTAAATCATTTAAAACTATGTTTGACCTCCACTCCCTCTTGAGAGGTGAGGCAATGATGCTATTTCTAATAATTTTTAGCACATTCTGTGTTCAGAAGCATCCTGGAGTCTCAAGAACCTGCACAGTCATAAATCTGGGGAGACTTTGAGCTCTTCTGTCTCACGATTAGGCCTGGGAATGTTCATACAGTGGTCATTGTCCAAGCTGAAGTGGTCATTCAAACCTGTTTCAAGGTTATTGACCCCCAAGGTAAGCAATGAATACTCAGTTATCTCTGCAGCTACATTCCCTCTAAGACGTCTCTTGCCATTGTCCTTGAAACATACAGGAATGTGATGCAGGGAATCCCTTAACTCTTCTGCTTAATGTCTTAATAATAATATAGTTTTATTTATAATACCAAGAGTTCTTTCTTCTCTTCTCTAATTTTTTCTTTATTATAACATCCTTGCTTGTTCCATAGATGTAATATTTTCTCTTACCTGTCTTAGAAACTTTCTTGTGTTCACATTTTATTTTTGATTGCCTCTGTTTCCTCAGAGTTTGTCTTCTGTAAGTGTTCATTTTGATCTATCTTTCACATTAGTGGCTTTCATGAAGTGTCTGGTGATCTTCGATTGATTGCATATAAGACTTAAGCTCTAAGGAACGGAATGCAAAATCTATGAGCCTAGGTGGTTTACTCTGCAGGCAACCAAGTAACTGAGGCCAAAGCATTGGTACCGATAGGTCTTTTCTCCTGGTTCAGCTATCTACCCATATAGGCAACCTCCTGGATCCTTCCTGAGAGGTCACTGTGGCAGGCAGAAATCAAGGAGCTCACAAGGTGCATGTTGAAAGCTGGGGGCCTGGCTTAGGGCTGAGAGTGCAGACTTTTACTTCATCTCCCTGATTTGCATTATGGCATTATAACCCTGCATTTAGCTGTGACTTTTTTTTCTTTCTGGTGCTGAGGATTGATCCCAGGGTCAGGGGTATGCTAGATGAGTGCTCTGCCACTGAGCTACATCCCTAGCCCTTTAGCTGTGTCTTGACTCTCAAGTCCAGAGTCTTTGGCTCATTCTTTCCTGAGAGGGACCTTCCCATTATTCCTCTGGGATTGAGAAGGGGGAGGAGATCTGGGAGTTTAACCACTCCACATAACAGACTTCAACCAGACTTCTGTTCATAGACTGCCCACTAGTGCTGTGTGCAGGATTACCTAGTGTTTTCCAGGTTGTAGGGCCAGAACCAGCTTGTTTTTCATTGTCTTCCTATGTGCAAGCACTGTATTGTCAGTTTTCACTATTATCCTAAATTACCACTCATATACTCTGGACTATAAAATTTTAATGAGGATTCCCTATTGTCATTTCTTTATTGCTCTTGGTGGCTTATACTATTTTTCTTTTTTGGTGGTACTGGAGTTTGAACTCAGGGACTCACACTTCCTAGGAAAACAATCTACCCCTTGAACCACACCTCTAGCCCTTTTTTGTATTGAGTATTTTCAAGATAGGATCTTGTGAACAATTTCCCTGGGCTGACTTTAAACTGTGATCCTCCTGCTCTCTGTCTCCTGAGTAGTTAGGATTGCAAGTGTGAGTGACCAGCACCTGGCTCTTTTTAAACTCATTTTCTTGACTGTTTAAATAAGTTTTAGGAGGGAGCAGAGATAGGCCCTTGTGCTCAACCCACCACCTTTAACACAGGTTCCACAGCACAACCTTTAGGATATTATAAATTGTGGCAAAATTTTGTCTTTTGTAGTTGGTTTGAAATTGAGGAATAGTCACATTCTGTGAATCCATTGTCAAATTCCCTTCCTTAGGCCTAAATCTTAGTTGATCATAACTAATAATTTTTTCTCGATCTTGAGAAACCAATCAACTGAACAATTGTGAATAATTTATAAATTATTGCCTATTGTAGAATAGCAAAATGACCCTGGAATTTAAGCAAAGTGCATGTATTGCACCAAATGAAACATATAGTACACTCAAACTTTCTGGGGAGAAAAGTCTATACCCCAGAATCATGCCTTCTTGCTATATTACTTTTAAATAGTTTGCTCATTACTTGAAATGATAAAATCCTAAATGCATGTTGGCACTGCCCATAATCTCTGTTCCAGGAGAGATAACTATTAGGATCAGAACCACTTCTCTTTGAAGAAGTCATGTGGTATTATCGCTATCAGTTTGACTCTGAGGGTCAAGCAAATGTTTGCTTGTTCCACCCCAAGAAAGTACAAGTCCATAACTGTGCAAATATTTGAAAGAAATTTAATTTCAGCATCACAGGGCACAACCAGCAAAGATAATAACCAGATCTTCTTAAGCATTGAGTTAGGAAGAGACTAAGGGCATCAAACCCTAACTCTTTTTTCAGTCTCTTTTGGCTCCCCAACTCTATCTCACGCTTTATTATTAAAGACTCCAAATTAGACCTAGTCTGAAAGCCAGCATTATTTTTTATTTTGGACAGGGTTCCCAAACAGCAATTTAGAGCCCAAACTGGTAATCTTTATAGGCCAAACAGAATGTCACTGTCACTGGTAAAAAATAAGGGTGACTCGAAGAGAATGTTTCTTCTTATGCGGATCCAGAACATGGTTCTCTTCAAGTTCTGGTAGAATTGATTTTGAGAATGTGCTCAGCCTCCGGGGTGATTATTTTTAAAGGCAGCACTTGGTTGGCTGTTTATATTTGGGTCAGTGTGAATTTTAAAGTCCTGTTGCTTTTTAATGACCTTTCATGTTTTAGCAGGGAAAAGGGAGGCTAGGTATTACAGAAAAGGAGTTAGAAAAGTTGCCCACAGGTGCTGCCCTTATAATAGTAAGACACTCGTTAACAATAACATAAAATTTATGTAGTAATCAAAAATATCTAGAGTAGGGAACTTGCTGAGCAATGGGGTACCATGCTACATACCCTTAAAGGACAGATATGTGTGTTGTGCCCATTTTGTGGAAAAGAGTATATAAATTAAGTGAAAATGATCAATATAAAATAATGCACAGAAAACAACTAAGTAAAAATGAATGTTGGGTAAAACCTGAATTTCAACTATATAAAGTCCTTATATATTTTTTTCTTTATGGTTGCTCAAATTCATAACAAAATAGAATAGATTTTGTGTTTCATAAACAGTTCTACTTCCTAACTCTGTCTAAGCCAAATCTTTAAACAATAATTGTTTTCTACAGATTAACACTTAGAACATTAGAATATCTCTCTTCAAACATTAAAAAAAAATAGCCTTTTGAATCAGTGTATCAATAAATACTTCCGCCTTTGCACACACCCCAAAAGGTGGAGTCCCCAAACTACTATGGAAGAAGGAAGTTAAGAGATGCTTAAATACCCTGGTTATTCCACCCCACTCAGACTAGTGGTCTGGCTTCCCAGTCAACATGAAGGGTCTCCTTCTTCTTGGGCTTCTTCTCCTTTCTGCCACAGTTCAGGGCAAGATTTATGGAAGGTGTGAGTTGGCCAGAACTCTAAAGGAACTTGGAATGGATGGCTACCGGGGTATCAGCCTGGCAGACTGTAAGTCTCCTCTCCTTTATACCTTCAGATAGTTAGCCACGTATGGCACAGGAACACAGAGAGAATAATAAGAAGGGGCTTTGAAAGAATGGACTTTTTTTTAACTTCCTTTGTGGATTTGTAATTACAATGGCTAAAAACGTCATTTTGGTCATTCAGAAATACATGTACTTCATGAGGGAATGAGAGCATGGGAGGAAAAATTCAATACATAAGTAAAATATAAAAGTATAACGGGAGGAAACAGTCTTACTATGTAGGCTAAGCTGGCCTCAAACTCAAGGCCAAGCTAACCTTGAACTCATGATACTCCTGATTCAGTCTCCCTAGTGCTAGAATTACGGGCATGAACCATCAAGTCCAGCTCTGAGGTATTCTTCTAGTTTGCTTTCATGTTTCTCCTCAATAACTATTTTTTAATGAATGACTGAGTGGCTAGATGACTGAATGGTTGGATGAACTCACCAAATAGCCTTTCCTGCTCTATAATTCTTGTTTTTAAGAGTCTAACTTCACATCCAAGTTCACCCTTAGGTATTGTAAAAAAAATATATCTTGCACTTAGAAAAATCTTTTTTTTTTTTCTTTCCTACCAAATAGCATTTTTCAGACTGGTGGAGTGGTTCAAGTGGTAGGGCACCTACCTAGCAAGTGTGAGACCCTGAGTCCAAACCCCAGTACCACCCCACTCCCAAAATAGCATTTTTTCATCAATCTATGTACTTTACAAAATCCATTTAATAACTCTCCTGATTTTTGTATTCTAGGAATTATATTGTCTGAGGGATAAGAGAAGGCAAAGTCTTTTAACAGCAGTGGGCAGCTATTTTAATATTTTTAAAAGTATCTAGTCTTGCTTCATTAGTATGACAAATTGATTAGCAATACAAAGGAATCTCTTAGGGCCCCTTTAAACTAAAGTGTTGAGCTGACCTTGTTGGCTCACACCTTAGTCCCAGTTACCCCACAGGCTGAGGTGAGAGGGTCACCTGAGCTCAGGAGACCAGCCTGGGCAACATAGTGAGACCTCATCTCAAACAACAATGAAAAATACCATTTAAATACATCTTTGTACTTGTAAAATAAGTCACTAATGAAATACAATTAGTTAAATGCAGGATACACAATATAAATCATTTAGTGTTGGTGTCTGTTACTAAAATGATTTCTTTCCAGGGGTGTGTATTGCCAAATGGGAGAGCGGTTATAACACAGAAGCCACAAACTACAATCCTGGAGACAAAAGCACTGATTATGGGATATTTCAGATCAATAGCCGCTACTGGTGTAATAATGGTGAAACCCCAGGAGCAGTTGATGCCTGTGACATATCCTGCAGTGGTAAGACATGCTAGTAGGAGTGATGGCACAGGATGCTCTCATTATTCTTACAAGAAATAGAATCCATGTCAAAGATGTAGACTTAAAGGATTCATTGGAGACTCAAAAACTACATCTTTACTTCTAGAAGTGATTGTTAACCCTACTCAAAATTTCCTGAGTAAGAAATTAAGGCTGGGGTGTAGCTCAGAGATACAGTGCCTGTTTAGTATGTAGCAGTTCCAGGGCTCCATCCCCAACACCACATAAAGTAAATAAATAAAACATTGATATCATAAAAAGTTGGTGTTTTTTAAGTACAAAAGTTTCTGGAATAATCGATGATTTTATTTTCAATGACCTTTCTGATGTTTTGTCCAGAATAATGTCATTGTTCCTATTTGCTTAGGGGTAGTTTAGGGATAGTTCGATTGTGTGGTCCTTTTGTGATTATTTCATCTTTTACTATGAAATGTTCTAAAATATAATTAGGTATTAATAGAACAAATAGCCATATAACTGCACTTTTAACAGTTATTAACATGTAGCCGTTTGCTTCTATTTTTTCGCTGAAAGATTTTAAAATAAACTAGAAACATTATGGTATTTTATTTTTAATTCGTGTAGTTTGCACTTCTAAAAAATACAGTTCCTGAATAACCATTACCTCACCTGCTAACACATTAATTTCTGGATTTATGTAATGAGGAACTCATTTATTTTTTGCAAGAAAAAGAACATGCATAATTTATTACATTCCGAAGGCATGGGACTATTAGACTCCTAAAACCATGGTAAAATAAAAATAACATGTGGAATGTTTAATGTATAAAAACTGGACATTTTGCATTATCAAATTTTTAAATTTTGAAATTCCCAAATAGAGGAGATAACTTTCCCATATTCTTTTAATCCATGGTCATTGAATAAAAGTTAGAATAAGCAAGTTTCTTACTTACCCATAGTCTTACACTACCCACAGTCTGAGTTCCCAGACATTTATGCCCACTGGTAACTTGTTGTTCATATTGCCAGAACGTGTGTCACTCATGTGTATAAATGTGGTCCTATCATCATATGTGTACCCATATACAGACATGTAAATAGTGCATGTTTACAAAAATAAAATTTTATTATATATTGTGCCTTAAAATTTGCTTCTTATCACACAGAATTATTTCTCTATCAACAAATGCAAATCTGTACTATTATAAAGAGTAAATAGAATTCTACTATAAAAGTATTCTATAATTTATCGATCCAACATTTACTGTTCAGCACTTAGGTGTCTCCATTTTTTTCCTCTATAAATTGGTACAAACAGCTTTGTGCATACGTATTTTGGTGCATTTCTTGTTTCTTTTTAAATGGTAGAATTGCTGTGTAAACATTACTACAGATCTTTTATTATATTATTCAATATATAGAAGACCTTTTATCATACTAATTCATAATTACAAAGCTTCCAATGACTTTAGTAAATAAGAAAAAGCATGCTTTATATCAAATGAGATCAAATAAGAATTCTCTTAGCCTCAGCTGGCTAAATCTAAATTTAAATGAAATTCTTATGGAAGTCATTTTGCATTCCTTACCCCTTGTCTTTCAGCTTTGTTGCAAAGTAACATCACTGATGCTGTAAAGTGTGCAAAGAGGGTTGTCAGAGATCCACAAGGAATTAGAGCATGGTATGTTTTAAGTGTTAAAGGGGAACTGTTTTACCCTCCTGATGATGTATGCCGAGAGACAGACTTTCAAAAGCCAAAGTGTCATTCTGAGAAGTGTTTGGGGCTTTTATGCAGATGTTTTACCTCCATGTGGAAGAAACAATTTACTGTAACTGATTTAGAATTTTACTCTTTTGCTCCTCAATTTATTTTAAGGGATTTCTAGAGTTTTTAAGATTTCCATACCTCTATAAGTTCCTTGCTGTATCTTGAAACTATTTGCAGAATAAGTAAACGTGCAATGCACATAACTCCACATTCATGTTAGCATTCTGTGCTCTACTGAGGGCTTTTGGACTAAGCCAACCATGTTGTACACAAAGTTCCATTCAGTTAATAGCAACACTTGGGTCTAGATATAGCCTGCATCTTATTTCTGGTTAAATTCTTTATGCCCCCAAAGGATAAGAAGTGTGTATATTACAATAAAGAGTGTGTATTACAAGGTTCTAACCTTTTCTCCATGTGTTTCACCTCTCTCTGCAGGGTGGCATGGAGAACTCACTGTGAAAACCATGATCTCTCTGAGTATGTTGAGGGCTGTGGAGTGTAACTGCAGAATTTTCCTTCTTCAGCTCGTTCTGTCTCTTTTTCACATTATGGGAGTAGTAGTTCAGTGAAAGGTCACACTGCCATTGTGTCCCCTTCAAGGAAATAGTATTTTTATAGAAGCAGGAGCGAGTACAGCCTTTCTCCCAAGAGTCTTACTGTTCACTAGTGAGTTTATTATTTGATACTAATACTAAATTTTCAGTTTCCTAATAATTACTAATGCTAGTGAAAATTTACATTCAGTTTGTAATAATTGAAATAACCCAGTCTAAATTTTCACTGATGAAAGTAGATGATTATATAACAAGTTTATCTTAAAACAAATTGATCTTAGGTAAAATCCCAGCTGTGTAAGCATCTGATGCCTTCATCTAGCATTCATCTCCAAAAAACAGTAAAATAACCACACTGTTGAAAAGATAAACATTTTAAAGAAGTAGAATTCCAAATGGCTGAAATGAAAACTGTCTGGATTAAGAATTTGATTTCATAAAGTGTATGATATTTAGTTTAGCTGTTTTTTTAAAGTGATTCATTTATACATCTTTAAACATAGATTCACAGCTGATATATCCATCTGTCTTAATCCTTGAAAGTGTTCACTTAACATGCATCTTGATAATCATGAAGGTAAAAAGAGGGATTTGATGAGCTGTTGCTGGTCTTTAACTGCATCAACTGCATAATCCTGTACTATGATGAGAAACAGGAGTGAAATTGTGTGCATATTAAAAAACACAAGCATTCGCATTAAAGGACGTGCAAAGCTTACCTTGTCTCTCTCTCTGTCATTTATGTGTGTGTGTGTGTGTGTGTATGTATATTTTTTAAAGACGTGGCATTCTTAGTATTTTCTATATCGTCATCTGCACATAAATACATGGATGTTGCTCGAGAAGAAGCACAAGCATTCTGACAGATCTCACTTCTATCCACAGCCACCAATTTCAGATGGGCCCTCTGGTCAGGCTGGCCATCACAATCCCTTCTCTGAGATCCTGTGCAGATGTCCCCTCCCTCCAAAATCATTATGACTATTTTACTTCTCCCTTGCCCTGTTCATATCTCCACCACACACATCTGAGCCCCTCTCTGCCCTTCATCTCTGCCCTCCTCTGCTCTCAGCTGATAATCTGGCCTTATGTTGCACTGAAAGAAAAGAAGCAACTCATACAAAGTTGTCCCCTCCATGTCATCAAAACATACCTTTCCCTGGGTGATCCTCTCTTCTTCCCTTCTGTTTCTAGAGTGAAGGGACTTTGCTCTTGTGAAAAGAGCAGTCACAGTCCCAGCACTCTCTCTGCTGGGCTGAGTTTCTCCCTCTTGACTGCATCTCCTCTATCATGGTCCAAGCTGCCCTGTACAGGCTAGTGTATCTGCTACCTGCTTCTTCGTCACTGTGTTACCAACTTGGGGGCCAGAATCCAATTGCTTATATTCAAGTATCCCTTATTTTATTATTTTACCTATTATAGTAGCTGTTCTTTTTTATCGTTATTTTTTTTTTGGCAGTAGCAGGGTTTGACTTCACAGCCTTGCAATTGGTAGGCAGGAGCTCTACCACTTGAGCCATGTACCAGCTATTTTTGCTTTTAGTTATTTTAGACAGCTTTTTGCCCAGGGGCCAGCCTCAGACTACCATGTTCTTATTTTTGCCCTCTGGGTAGCTGGGATCACAGGCATGCACCACCACGCTTGGCTTGCTTGAGATTGTGGTCTTACTAACATTTTGCCCAGGCTGACCTCCAGCCACATTCTTCCCAAATTCTGATTCCTGAGTAGGCAGGACTACAGGTCTGTACCTCCATACCCAACTTACTGTCAGTAATCTGCTCTGTGTCTAATTGATTCATTAAACATTATCACAGGAATGTATACAAGGGAAAACCATGGTATGTTTATAGTTCAGTCTGACCTGCAGGCTTGGATGCCCACAGGTTGATCTTATGGAGGATGCCACGTGGATAGGGAAGATTGAGGCACCGATCCCTTCTTAGCAGAATCTAACGTCCAGAGCACACGGTTACTATACTTTTTAAACCATTGAGATGGGCTAGGGGCATAGCTCAGGGGGAGAACAACTGCCTGGGATGCAAGAGACCCCAGGTTGATCTCAAGCACCAAAAGAAAAGGGGGCTATAGACACGATCCAAATCCAAATCATACTCTACCACTTATTAACTACATTTTTGGATAACTTACTTTGCCCATACGGAGTGCCTATAATTCACCTATAAAGTGGAAATAATACTCACCTATTAGACTCTTGTAAGTATTATAAAGTTTATCAAATAATAGTATGTTGCAAGTATTTGATTTTTTAAAAGTAGTATTTTTTCCTTTAACCTTTTCCTTTCTCTCCAAATAGTCTAGATAACCTCCAGGTCTTCATTATTCAACCCCTAGACGTCTTCTGATCCCCCTGAGTGCTCTCAAAAGCCCAATGTCATCTGTCACCTGCATCATTTGTCACCTTTCTATCATTTCTCCCAGAGTCTCATCTTCATTAGTTTTTCAAAAAGATTTCAAAGCAAGGATTGGTGGCTCGTGTCTATAATCTCAGCTACTGGGGGAAAAATAGGAGGACTGGGGATTGAAGTCAGTTCAGACAAAAGGTTAATGAAACCCTATCTCAAAGAACAAGTCAGGCATGGTGGCACACAACTGTAATCCCAGTTGCACGTGAGGTATAGGGAAGAGGATCAAGGTCCAAGGTTGTCTAAGCAAAAAGTGTGGGACCCTCTCTGAAAAATAACTAAAGTAAAGTGGGCTAGGGGCATGGCTCAAGTGGAAGAGCACCTGCCTAGAAAGCAGAAGGCCCTGAGTTCAAACCCCAGCCCTGCAAAATAAATACATACATAAATAAATAACCATTTTTCATCCTGCTACTCCCCACTTTAATACTCATGAATAGTTTCCCATGATCTTTGGGATTAAGTTCTAAATCCCATTGTTTTTGGAGTAAGCACCAACATATGGCCCTGTTCAATCCAACCTCATTTTCTTTGCCATTTTTCACCAGCCATCCCTGCACTGCTTTCAGTGTCTTCATCAGCCTCCTCTTGCCTCCTGCCTCTGGGCTCAGCACATGTGTTTCAGCCCCACCCTGACCCAATTAACTCACCTTTTCATTTGCCTAACACAACTCATCCTTTTCTGCTGGAACCTCCCACACAGATTTCTCAGCTGTGTAAATTTCTCCATGAACACTGTGCCTACCTTTCTGTAAAACTCATCACACTAAAGGTGTTTTCAATCACCAAGACTTAATTTCCAGAAACTCCATGAGGGCAAGAATGATACCTGCCTGGTTCCTACACAACCTGAGGTCCTAGCAGAGAGTAGCTGTGAGGTAGTGTCAAGGCATTAGTTCCCACTAGGAGCAGGGGAAGATGGCTCATGGCAAAGACAACTGCTCTAAGAAGAGTGCTAATAGGAGCTTAAGATCTTGAAAGCCAGGATGCCTTTCACAAAAATGTTTTTAAACTTGGAGCATACCTCTCAAAGTGTCTTAACTTTTATCACTTCTACAGAAATCTCCTTACCTTTGACCTTTTTTGTGATTCCTCCAGCTGTGGAGGAATCTCTTTGCTCCCTACCTCTGCTCTCATTGCTTCCTCTAGCCACAACACTGCCCATCTGCCCTCAGACCCCTGCACTGTCTGCCTGGCTCATAGCTTTTAAGCAAGTCAGTGGGCGTCACTCTCCTGCCTCCTACCCCTGGCCTCCATGCTTGCTCTGTCGTCCTAGAATTCCCTGCACCTAGCACAGAGAGGTCCTGTGAGGGCTCAGGATTTTGGTAAGTGAATGAATTCGGGAGTGACAAAACACTGAGACATTCTTGTTGAGGGATTGGTGCTCTGATGATTAAAGAAAGACCCGTGATTACAAAAGTATGTTTTAATCTTTATACAGACATTAAATCTCCTGTCATCTCCAATTCAGCCATGATGGCCACCCTAAGAGCTGGTTATCACTTAGGCCTATCGTGTACAAGATCAGGGCTAGGTGCCATGAGAGACAGACATGTGAGGACCTTCTAGCTTAGAACAAGAAGGAAAGGGGCAACCAAGTGAATGCAATGGAGGTGTCCTGAAAATTCGATTAGAATAAATAGAATATTTCATTCTGACAGCATCAAGGGGAACTTTATAGAATTAGGAGGCTTCCATAGGTAGAGTGCATGGGGTAGAGCACAGGGACTGAGGCCAGAGCAGCAGTAAGGCACAGGGAGAGAGATACTGCAAGCACCAGGAGCAGTGGCTGCATTTAAAATGCACAGCAGCCTCCTATTTAGCAATTTCTCAGGCTAAGTAGTCAAGCAACATGTTTCTAACACACTAATCTGTGGTTCTGCCAGACGCTACGGCACTCTATGGTACTGGCACTATGGCAGAGATAATTCCTTTACCCAGGGCTCTGGCTATGCTGAATGATATTGTTTCATCTCAGTATTAACCAGTTACCTGACGGAGAAGGCAACATCAGCGAGACGAGAGCGCCAGGTAACCTCAGATGACTTCTGGAGTCTGGATGGTGTGAGAACACCCAGGAGGGGGCATTGTTTTATTGACCATGCAATGGGCAGGAGCTTACATTACAAGGATATTGAACGCTAGAAAACGTGCAGGTAGTCCTGACGTGGTGCGTAGGCCTACAGTTCTAGCACTGGGGAGGCAGAGGCAGTATGGTTGGATGACTGGGAGTTCAAGGCCAGCAAGACTCCACCTCAAAAAGAAGGAGGAGGAGAAGGAGAAGAAATGAGGGGGTGGGAGGAAAGAATGAAAGAAAGAAAGAAAAGAAGGAAAGGATTTTCTTTAAATCTTGAAGAAAAATACTGTGATCTGCATTTGACAAACTTAAACTATGTACCAGTTGCCAGCACCCAGGCACCTCAGGGGTCACCAAAATGCCATGTGTGCATTGGGATCAAGCACACTGCTGAGGCAGGAATGTTCCCACAAGAAGCCACCCTGACCCAGGCAGGGAGCATGTGTTCCAGGTGCTGGGCCTGGGTCACAGGCTGCTGCACAGCTCAATGGAGGGCCGCTCTCCTAGCAGAGAAAGGAATGACTTCACCTTAACCGTCAGCATCTGGTCTTCTCTGGAGAGCCTGATGGAGCTGTGCC